TTGCAGCTGATCTCTGCCTCCCGTGGCCAGTGGGTCACCTGTGGCCTGTGAGTGTCCACAGGTTAGATGTGAAGCTCAGGTCCTTTACTCCGAGGGGGCTCCGTGGTGTCTCAGCCCCTTTGCTCATCAGTCCAACCCAGTCATCTCCAAATCATGCTTTTGGGTGCCATTAAGAAAACAGGCTGCTGTCAGACAGACAGACAGAGAGTTATGACTGGGAAGGAGGGCCTGGGATGCTCCAAGGAGCGGGTCCGAAGCCTACCTGGCAGAGTGTGGGGAAATTCTGTCCTGGGGACCTGAAATGCCCCAAGGGACTTCCTCGTTATCATCCCAAGGACAATTGAGAGGTCTTGTTTTTTTTTGGAAAGGAAAAGTTGTAAGGATTGTGTATACTCAGAAGACTTGACAGGAGAGGGTGAGTTTTAATCGTACACAAGTGTTCTCTGGTTGGTGGATGTTTCTATTCAAAGGAGCCATGTGAACCAGGCTTCCCAGGTCCTATCTGTAGCATGCATGCATGTATGCATGCATGTGTGTGTGTGTGTGTGGCACGCACACACACATGTGCCAGTCCTGAGGCTTGAACTCAGGGCCTAGATGCTGTCCCTGAGCTTCATGTGCTCCAGGCTAGCGCTATACACTTGAGTCACAGCACCACTGCACCACTTCTGACTTCTATTGAATGGCTTATTGGAGAAGAGAGTCTCTTGGACTTTCCTGCCTGGGCTGCCTTTGAACTGCAATCCTCAGATCTCAGCCTCCTGAGTAGCTAGGGTTACAGGTATGAGCCACTGGCACCTGGCTCTTCATCTGCAGTTTTTGAAGAAGGGAGGAGCTTGCTGTTTGTTGCTGTTACTTTTGAGGCCTGGATAGGGCTGGGGATATAGATGGAGAACCCCAGGGGTACAGTGGAGGTATTGGACTAGAAGGACAGCCTGGCATCCATGAGTGGCCGTCAGAGGCCCAGGGAGGCCAGAGGTCAGGTGAAGCCAGAGTCCACTCATGCCACACACCGTACAGTGGCTTCCAGCTCCGCTCGCCCCAAGGCTGAGAGCCTGGCGTGGGTTATTTGGATGTGAGTTGCGGCTGCACTGCTGCGGGGCTCTGTCGCCTCTCCTCTCCAAGTCTCAACCTTTTCTCCTCAGCAAGTGGAGCTAGGACTGGACCTCACCTCCGGATGTGGGGTGGTAGGCAGTCACGATGCAGTTCTGGGGTGGCAGAGGCTGTGTGGTTTTCAGAGCCTGGTCCACACAGCCGGCTCTGCTGTTCCTGCCTCCTCCACCTTCGTCACCTGGTTGGCTTACAGAGCGATAAAACATCCCACAACCCCAAGGCCACGCGGGTGGCCATCAGAGGCTTGAGCAGGAGCAGAGGAGTGAAGTCAGCTTTGGGGATGGGGGTCAGTGACCAAGGGGGCAGTTGGGTGCCTGGGTCAGCAGTGTCCCTAGAGCCGGCCTGTGCTCCGGCTGTTTGACCTGTGTCAGCATATGGTGTGTGCTGAGGTTTGTCCACATGTGTGAGGTTCAAGGCTGGATACATGGTCCGCCCCAAGGGACAGGTGGAACCCTGTGGCCCTGTGGTATTGGGGAATCTGTCTGTGTTGTGACCGGAAGTCACAGCGTGGGGAGTTCTGGCTGATGCTGATCAACCATACATGTGTGTGTGTTTGTGACTGTGGCCGTGTGAACTACCCACCATCTGACAGTCGCCACAGCTACGACCTGGGCCTGGGCTGGTGACATTTCACATCTTAGTGGACTGGGGCCAGGGGCCTCATTTTGCCTCCCCAGCAGAAGTGATCACCGGCCAGCTACAGACTCAGTACCTTGTGTCCTGAGCACCTGGCAAGGCCTTGGTCCTGGGGCCCAAGGCCCAGGGGGCTCCGTGGTGGGGACCTGGGGGCGGGGATTAGGGGAGAGACCGGAGCTGCGTCCACCAGTGTGGAGGCTATGCATCCCAGAAAGCTATCTGAGTAGCTCCCCAGGTGCAACAGGCCCTGCCATCCCTCCACTTCTGTCAGGAGAGGGGCAGGGAGGCTGCCCAGGTGGAGGAAGTGCTGAACAAGGGGACGGCATTTAGCCCGGCTGGTGGTGGCAGTATTCTCAGATGAATATGACAGTTGCTGTGGGGATATCGACTTGTGAACTACAGACATTGCAAACTTTATGCCAAAGATCTGGAAGGAGTAGGGGTGGGGGTGGGGAGGGGGTTCCTCCAGAGCTGCAGAGGCTTGGCAGGCTCTGGGGTAGACAGGGATGGGCTGAGCCCCATCTCCTCTCCAGGCCCATTCCAGGACAGACAAAGCACATTCAGTTGGGGCTTGGGCACCCCAGTTGCCCCTCCCAGGGGTGGGCAAAAGCTCTGTTTGGGGCCTGCAAGACTCCAATTCAAACCTGGCTCCTCTAAGAGCCTTCGTTGTGTCCTCTGAGCTTGTTTCTTTGCATGGATATGAGCTGCCGTTTCTTCTGGCATTCGAGTGGACTTAGGTATAGTGAGGCTGTGTTTACCTGATAGAGAAACTACCAAACTGTAGTGGCTGGACCATTTTCCATTCTCACCAACAGGGTGCAGGGGTTCTAATTTTTCCACCTGTTTTTAATGTTGTTTACTTATCCCCCCCCCCTTTCCCCACACTAGTGGGACTTGAACTCACTGGCCTCACGCTTGGGTTCTCCACTGACTGGAACTTTGTCTCCAGCCCTTGTTTTTGAGATAGGCTCTCACTAACTTTCCGCAGACCGGCCTTGAACTCTGGATCCTCCTTGTCCCTGCCTCTGAAGTAGCTGAAACTACAGGCATATATGCACCGCCTTGCCTGGCTTTCCATCTGGTGTGCATTGTCGTTGTCTTACCGGTACAAAGTGGTATCTCCTGCCCGCACGGCAGTTTTTTCTTGCGTTTCCTTGGTGAGTGCTGGAGCTGGTCATGTTTTTATGTGCTATGTTAGCCGCGCATCTGTCTTCTTTGTTGAGAGGTCTATTTAAAGCTTCTGCCCATCTTTATATTAGATTGCTTGGTTTCTTATTGGGGTGTAAGAGTTGTTTCAGTTTTCCAGACTAGTCTTTTATTGGAGGTGTGGTCTTCAAATATTTTCTCCTGGGAGATAATTTTTAAGGTGTTTACTAACGGTGACTTCCAAATACAGGCAGGTCTTCACGTGGATGACATCTGGTTTAACATCTTCTTTTAATGCCTCCAGAAGCTTTTTTTTTGCTGTTGTTTGTTTTGGTGCATTGTATCTCAGAAATCTTTGCCTAAGCCAAAGTCTTGAGTATACGTCCATCTTCCTTCTATACTTTTCTACCTTATGTTAAGGTCCAGGAGTCAGTATGAACTAATTGTTGAGAGGTGAGGAAAGTTCTGGATTCCTGTGTGTTCTGTCTTAGCACTATTTGTTATTTAAAACAAAACAAAACTGGAAGAACAAGAAACAAAAGACCATTCTTCCTCCCGTTGCATTGTGGGTAACCTTCCTCCTAAGCCACCGTCCCTGTGGCCAGTGCTTCTGCCTTCTCTCTCTCACCTCCTGCCCATCGTGGCAGCTGGGGACTGGTGGAATGGAACCTTAGCCACAGTAAAGCTGTACCTTAGAGCCAGTGGCGTATGTGCCTTTAGCCAGCTGTGCGAGTTTGGGCTCCAGCATCCTCACCTCTACCTGCCTTAGTTTCCCCATCTGTGAACCAAGGGGTGATAATAGCATCGGGCCTCCCAGGGTATTATACAAAGCAGGATCTAGTGGTGTTAGCACTTGGGGGCGGGCTGAGGAAGGAGGATCTGGAGTTCAAGGCCAGCCTGGGCTACCTATAGAGGTCCAAGCAAATGAGCAGCAGGGGTGGCAGATGCGGAGCGCCCTGAGGTGAGCGCGCACAGGTCCCGTTGGCTGTGATGTAGATATGCTGCTGCTTTCTGATAGCTGCTGCTGTTTTTGCTCAGATCGGTTAGCCTGGTTCCCTGGGTGGAGGTGAGGGGAAGGAAGGGGCTCCGAATGTGACCTGCAGGTCCTGGAGGCGGCTGCTTCAGCTCAGAAACCTGGTTGCCTCCGGCATCCTGGCCGCAGGCTCTGAGCCCTGTTGCACTTCCAAACTGGAGGCCTGCAGGAGCCCCCTGATCATCTCTCAGGAAAGGATGAGAGTGAGGAAAAGAGAGGCCACACCTCCTCTCTTCTGCTTTATACTGGATTCAAGCACAGCTAGGCACCAGTGGCTCACACCTGTCATCCTACCTGCTCAGGAGGCTGAGATCGGAGGATCCTGGTTTGAAGCCAGCCTGGGCAGACAAATCTGTAAGACTCTTATCTCTACCTAACCAGCAAAAAGTAGATGTGGCTCAAGTGGTTGAGCACCAGCCTTGAACAAAAAGGCTCCGTGACAGGGTGCAGGCTCAGAGTTCAAGCCCCAGGATGGGGGTGTGCGTGCGCGCACGCACACACACACACACACACACACACACAAATGTGCGCATACACAACCCTGCCTACACAGGCACACACACGTACACACCTTTCCTTTCCTCTTTTTGCCTGTGAGCAGTTTCTTTCTTCCTCCCTTCCATTTGGCCCTGCCCTGAGTTTGCTTTGACTTGTACCCACCCACACCCACCCGAGCAGGAGGCGCCCAGCGAGTGCAGGCCCTGCGCCTACCTATTGCCTTGCATCCCCTGGGAAATAGACCTGCACCCCGTGGAACACATCCGCCCCCACAGGCTTTGATCAAAAGTGTATCAGCCAGAAACCAGGAGTTGAAGTGGGCCCCGGTGGGCAGAGGTGTTGGAGAGAGAGCTGGAGGGCCTGCTCGCGGGTGGGTCCCTGCTCTAAGACCCGGCCCTGTGCACTGTCTCCAGGGCCTCCAACACTCTCCTTGGACTGCTACGAGACGCAGCGTGAGCCATCCTGCCCCTGTAGGTCTGTGTGAAACAGGTCTGGTCCCTGCAGCACCCTCGGCCCCCGGCTCTGCCCCCCTCCACTCCTGTCAGAAGCCACCTTGTCTTAAAAGATCTCGGAAATGCAGAGAGACGGGGAGGATGCCATCGAGTCGGGCACGGAGGAGGAGGGCACCCTGCGCAGGCAGAAGGCCCTGTTGCTGCACGTGAGAGACAAAGGCGACGAGCCTCTCCCTAGAAGACCCGAGACCCAGCAGTGGCGGAATCGGCAGCTCCAGCGCCTGGCAGAGGAGATGAAGGCAGAGTGGCAGGAGACCCAGCTCCAACAAATCAAAGACCTGGAACGGCTCTACCTGGCCCGGCTGCTCGGGGGAGTTGCAGAACAGGCAGTGGGGAGCCAGGCCGGCTTGGAGGAGTTGGTCTCCAGAGAGACAACCAAAGCCCCAAGGCCCAGAAACAAGCCCAAAGGTGCCCAGAGAGAGAGGAAGAGTCGCAGGGAAGAACCGTCCCGACAGCAGACCTGGCACCCCAAGTCTCGAAAGAAAACAGCAGGCTCAGAAAAGCGGAGGCCCACCAGACCCCCGGGGCTAACTGCCCCCGAGAAGAGCAAGGTGAAGCGGATCCCTTCCAGCAAAAGCAGCAGCAGCCACCGCTCCGTGAACTCCCGGTCCAGCCGAGTGTTGGACTTCACCAAGCTCTGCCCGCTCTTGACCCCCGTGGAGGAAATCGAGGAACCTGAGATAGAGACAGCCTGGAGTGAGAGAAGGCAAGAAGGGAGGGGGACCCCTGTCTCCGTTCAAGGCCTGAAACACAGCTCCTGCGACCACAGTCCCGAAGACAAGCTGAGCGACGTAGAGCAGCCTTGGACGGGCAGCCCGGCCTACAAAAGGAGCGAAGTGTCCTCTACCTGTTCACTCAAGGGCAGCGAAAAGGGCAGGTGGCAGAAGGAGCTGGAGAATGCCTTCGAGGAATTGTTCAACACCAACCGAAAGCTCAAGAAACAGCTGAGTTTCCATCTTTACCAGAGGCCCCTGGGGGACCTGAACCCTGAGGAAGAGCAGGGTCTCCCAGAGTCATACAACCACAGTGGCCACAACCACAGTGGCTCCCAGAGACAGCGAGGAGAAGAGATGCCCGAGGAGACGGACGACGCTTCCGAGGCATCGTCAACGGAGTACACGTTGAGAGGGTTTCTGAGCAAGGCCCAGAACCTTAAATACCTGCAGATGGCCAAGCCTGAGTTAAAGGAGAACCACACGCCCTTTCCCAGGACCAGATTATCTCTGAGTGACGAGGGCTCACACTCACGACAGGTGGACTCGGGACTGGAGCCCGAGCTGGGGGAGCACCGTGCCCACACCCCCCTGCAGGAAGAGGCGGGCAGATCCAGCTGGGCGGCGCTGAAGCAAAAGCAGAAAGCAGAGATGGAACAGAGAAGGAAAACGGCCTTCTTGGGGCAGACTGAACACCCAGACATGAGCTTGGAGATCCACTACAAGGCTGAGCTGGAGGAGGAGCGGAGAGAACGCAGAAAAATCCGCCTGGCCCTGCTCAAGGCCTACTCCACGGGAGTCTCACCCACTAGCCGAGGACCCGAGTTCAGAAGCCTGTCCCTCTCGGGCACCAGCCTCCTGGATGAGGACAGACAAAATCAGATGATCCGTGACCTTCAGCAGCAGATTGTAGAGCAAAACAGGTTACACAAGCAGTTTCTGGACAAAGCCAGGAAACGCTTGCAAGACTTTCAGAAAACTTGTTAAGGTCGAGGCCCACCCATGACAAATACACTCACTGGTGACGGTTTGCCTGCACTGTCGCAGAACCTCTAAGGTCTGTCTGTGTCTGACTTTCTGTCTGGGTCGTGGTGGAAAGTTTTAGGCCTCTCCTGAAGGGCATTGCGTCATACTCCAGGCCCCACTCCTTTGTGCAAAAACAAAAACAAAACCCAAAATGGAGGCCATGTGAGACTACGGAAGCCAGGCTGGCCTCTCCTCCCTGAGCCCCTCCCCCAGCGGCGTCTGTTTTGAGGTAGTGTATAGGCACACGTAGAAATTCCAGGTAAAACCGTCTCTTCAGAGGTTTTAGATGAATAAGCACTGGACTTTGGTGGTGGTGGGGGCATCCAAGGTCAAACGGGCACAGTTTCAAAAGATACATCATCTGTTGCTCAGCCGCTGGCTGAGACAGCCACACTGCACTAAAACCTCCTTCAGATGACACAGCCAGCACGTCCAGCAACATATCCCGGGACCCATGGAGGAGGAACAACCCGGCCAGGCTGGGTGGCTCCCTCTGGAGCTGGCCTTGTTGGCGGGGGGGGGGGGGGGGGGGGGAGGGGTTAGAGGGCCCGGTGTTTGGTCAGTGTCCCATCCTGCAGCTTCCCCTTGCAGCCCAGCAGCTATGGACACGCCACACCGCCTAGCTTTGCTCTCTGCCAGTTGCATACTTAGGGACCTGGACAGGGGTCAACAATTTTTTTTTTTCTGCCAAGAACCAGATAGGAAATGTTTTAGCTTTTCTGGCTAGCCTGTGGTCACTGCGTGGCTCCACTCTTGCTGTTAAAAAACAACTGTGGGGTGGATACAGAAATAAGGCGTGGCCAGGCACTGGTGGCTCACGCCTGTAATCCTAGCTACTCAGGAGGCTGAGATCTGAGGATCCTGGTTTGAAGGCAGCCTGGACAGAAAGACTCTTATCTCCAGTTAGCCAGAAAAAAAGCTAGAAGTGGAGCTGTGGCTTAAGTGGTAGAGCCAAGCAAGAGGGAGAAGTACTGAGTTCAAGCCCTAGTACTAGCACAAAAGGAGGGAAGGAGGGAGGGAGGAAGGGAAGAAGGAACTAGAATAGTTCCTGAGCCTCCTAGCTTCTTTTCCTTCCTCTCTTTCCTCCTTTCTCCTTTCCATCTCTATCCTTCCTCCATTTCCTCTCTTCCTTTACTTTCTCCCTTCTTTAATTTTTTAAAAAATTATTATTATAAAGATGATGTAATACACCAGGGTTACAATTACGTAAGTCAGGTAAAGTTGGTGGTGGGGCTTGAACTCAGAGCCTGGGTGCTGTACCTGAGCTCTTTTGCTCAGGGCCACAGCTTCACTTCCGTTTTTTAAGTGGTTAATTGGAGATAAGAATCTCAGGGAGACTTCTCTGCCTGGGCTGGCCATGAACCTGGATCCTCAGATCTCAGCCTCCTGAGTAGCTAGGATGGCAGGTCTAAGTCACTGGCGCCTGGCTGGTACATTTCTTTTCTTTTCTTTTCTTTCTTTCTTTCCTTTTCTTTCTTTTTTTTTGTCAGTCATGGGACTTGAACTCTGGGCCTGGGCGCTGTCCCTCAGCTCTTCAGCTCAAGGCGAGCACTCTACCACTTGAGCCACAGTTCACTTCTGGTGTTCTGAGTGGTTCATTGGAGATAAGAGTCTCACGGACTTCCCTGCCCAGGCTGGCTTTGAACTTTGATCCTCAGATTTTGGCCTCCTGAGTGGCTAGGATTATGGACGTGAGCCATGGTGCCGGGCTCTGGCACACTTCTTTTGGACAATGTTATCCCTTCCCTCGCACTCTGCCAGTTCTTCCCTCCCACCCCACCACAAGTTGTAGAGTTAATTTTCAACATAGTGTCCAGTGAGTACCATTGCTGCACCCTTTGTCCCTCCATTTCTGTGCTCCCGCTTACACTCCCTCCCAAAGACATAAATGAATAAATGGAGGGGGAGGGAAGAAAACAAAAACAGCAAATAAGCCTCTTGATTTCATTTCCTGCTCTCCCTTTTTTTTTTACTTCATTCCTCCTCTCTTCTATCTCTCTTCCCTCCCTCCATCTTTCCCTCCACCCCTCTTGTCATCTTATTTCCTCTTTTCTTCCTTCCTCCTCCTCCCCCTTTCCTCCCTCTCTCCACTCCATCCCTCCCCCCGTCATTTTCCCCCCCAGCATGTCCTCATCTGTGGCGCTCTAGCATTCTTTCCAAGATCATAGCTGTTTTTATTCTGTGCCTCTTTCTGAAAGGAGCACTAATATCCCTAATGCAATTACTTAGAAAGGATGGATGCCAAAAAGTGCCTTTGTGGTTTAATTCCAGGATTGGGACTGGGCACTGACTTTTGTTTAAAGAGCTTTCGGAGATGGTGAACTGACCCCCGCTGGGATGTCGGTGGGAAAGATCCCAGACATCACTCTGGCTCTTCTAATATTTTGTGTTGTTGTTGTTTACAAATACAAAGTGCCAGACCTCATCCCAGAGGCTGTCCCCAGAGATGGCGGTGGTGGGGGGAGGGGGTAGCAAGACTCAAGGTATGGGATGCCAACTGATGAGGTGTGAGATGCTGGCCTCTGAGGAGCCTGAGCCAGACCTTCCAACCCCCGGAACCCCACAATGGGCTTGTTTCAGGGGGACCTGAACCATGTTCTGGAAAGGCCTGGAAGGTGCTATGGGATTCTCCGGCTTAGAGCTGTAGCCACCGTGGGACCCGACACACCGTAACTGAGGCCTCACTGGGCCAGCTTAGCAGCACAGGCGGCCCGGCCTCCCTCGGTGCGGTGGTTTCTGTTTCTGTTTACAAAGGTGGTATTTGTGGCCGGTGTGTTCTAGGTGAGGAGCTGCCTCCTCCGCAGCCACGCTGGAGCTAAAAGTAGGGGTGAGGATGGACAGTGAGACGCGGCAGGTGACTCATCTCTGCCTGGACGGCCACCCCGACCCCGTCCCCCGACACCCTGCCCCTTCCCACCTGTGTGGGAGAAGGCTACAGGGAGGCAGACTGGCCTTGGCCCTGGCCAGTGGTGTGGGCTATAAATTAGCCTCCCAGGACCCCTTCTCTCTCCCAAAGAGGGTCCTCCGTGGGAGAGGGCATGGATACCTTCCCAGCCATCCCCAGAGTCCCCACCCCGCTGCCCGCCCTGAGCTGTCTGGAAGGCGGGGCAGTGCTCTGGGACAGCCTGGAGCCCCCAGAGTCCCCCACTCCTCACACCCAGCGCCTCCTCCAGGAGCCAGGGCCAGGCTCCCATCCCATTTCCATCACCAGCCGTGACCTTGACACACCGGCCCGAGGGCACCCTGCCCAGGCCCTGCCGGCACCTGCTTGACACTCCAACCCTCCTTGAAGAGCCAGGTCTTATAGATGGCCGAGTATATGCCTGGGCCCTGTGGGCTGCCCCGCCTGGCCCAGTCCAGCTTCTGTATGGTGGGGGCTTCCCCACCAGCAGGAGGACTCAGGGCCCCCAAAGGTTTATGCACAGCACTGCTGAAGCATTTCTGGGTAGTCTCCTTGCAGTACCGGGTATTCTAGAACCTTCCACCACCTCTGTGCTTCTGCACCCACATTCAAAGTATTACATCCCTGCTGCACGCATCCTTCCTCCTCCTCTGAAGTGCAGGGACAAAGAGAGACCTCCCATCCTCCCTGGGCATGGATGGGGGCACCCTGCCTGCCCAAGTGGTTTTCAGGGCAGCAGCGAGGAGGCTTGGGGTTTCTTGGGGGTCAGCTGGAGCCGCAGGCCGGGGGCAGGCCTGCAGTAGCTCACAAAAGCTGGGGGGAGAGACACAGGCATCACATCCCTGGACAGCATGGTGCACTCCCAGTTGATTTTGACCCTGAGGCCATGGGCTGGTCTGGGAGGAGGGGGAGGGGAGGGGGGAGGAGGAGGGGGGAGGAGCAGTCTTCAGTCCTTGTACCTCTCCTTCCCCATCTAGATCAGGGTGCAGCCAGGGCACCTGCGCTAACCAGGACTTCAGAGATGGGCTTGTGAGGCAGGGCAGGGGGTGGAGGAGTGGGAGCCCTAACCCCGAGTGCTCACACTGCTCCTCCCCCGGGAGTGCGGTCTGGCACTCCACCTTCTCAGCCCTATGTGGGAGACACACACCAAGTTAGGTTCGGCCCACCAGTCACATGCCTTGGCCCCCCCTGCCTGGGCCAGGGCTTGCAGCGGCCGAGGGTTCAGCCCGCCCCCCAAAATGAGTCAGCCCGTGAGGAATGGTGGCCGCCCAGGGTCCCGAGGCCTCCGTGGCCAGGAGGTCCCTGGGGGGCTGCCTCTGCTTCTGCGCCAGTCCCCAGGGGGGGGGGCGTCCTCAGCCCGTGGGCCGCAGTGCCTTGCGGGGCAGACCGGGTGGGGTTCTCCGGGCACCCCTCCAGGCCCCCTCTGCCTCCTGCCCTGCTCGGCTCTGGCTCGGCTTCGCAGGGCTGAGCTTGGCTCTCCAGTGAGGGCTCTTGGCGGAGAAACTGCAGAGCAGCATTTCCCTCCACAAAGCCGCACTGTTCTGGGCAAACCCTCCCAGGAGCGGGATGCTGGCGTGTGTGTGTGTGTGTGTGTGTGTGGTGTGTGTGTGTGTGTGTGTGGCGTGTGTGTGTGTGGTGTGTGTGTGTGTGTGGCGTGTGTGTGTGTGTGTGTGTGTGTGTGTGTGTGTCAAACGATTCAACAGCACAGCACGTGAAAGGAAAAGGCTGAGCGCCCAAGGCTCAGATCACACTGGTCCACAGGGAGAAGGGAAGGGAGGCTGGGCCTGAGCCAGTCCCCTCCAGGGGCTAGAGAGGAGGGAAAGGCCGAGTCCTGGGGGTGGGGAGGGGTTAAGGGAGGCAGCTGGAAGGCTTGTCCCCCAGAAAACGGCCAAACTTCCCTGCTGGTTCTTCTAAACGTCCTTCCCTTGCCTTCCCCAAGAGGAGCCAAAGCTATGTAGGTAGGTACAGGCAGGAAGTGGAGATAGGAGAGCGGTCTCCGTGGAGACAGGCACCCAGTGTGCAGTGCTCACCACCGGGTGCTTCTGATCTCGAGTGATCCATAGGCTGGGGGTCTTCCTCGGGCAGGCCTGGCATGTCCCCAAGGGCCGCCTGTGGGGGGCGTGGCCTAGGGGCACCCTGCTCTCCCGCTCACCCCCCAGTCTCCCTCCCAGCTCCTCAGCACCACTTCTCCACACCCGTCTACTCTGAGGAGTTCCGGTCCAGGCCTTCCTTTCTCTGGCCTGAGCCACAGTGACCCAGTGTCTTTTCAGCTGGCCACAAGGCCTGGGTACCATGTGGGGCTTTTTTTTTTTTTTTGGCCGGGGAGGCGGGGGAGAGCTATCCGTTCACTTTCCAGTACCCCAAAAGTCCAGTGGTTTAGATCCTGGGGGATGGAGCAGTTTGTGGGTCTCTGAAGGGGAGCCTGGTCTGTCTCAGCTGGTGCTGGGAGCTGGGAAGCCTGGCTCCACCCACCACCACAGGGCTGGTTTGAATTACCCAGTGACAGCCCCTTTCCCTCTCACTGCCCTAAAAGGAGCGGACTTACACCAGGTCTTTTCCACCACTGACCCGGAGGGGCCAGGGCCAAGGAGGGCTCAGGGGACATGGCCAGCTGTCCACTCAGGACACGGTCTGGGGGGACAGTTGAGGCCAAAGGTGCCAGGTGGAGCTGGACACACCTGTGGGTTTATGGTGTCCCGACACCTCCCAGCTGCCTGACCACACCTGTGTCCACATGCCAGCTGTTCTGCGGGGAGGGGTGTGGCCTGGTCATGGGGTGAGCCCAGCCCCACACAGCCCCCCCTCCTGATCGCCATCTGCCACTCCTCACAGCATGTGGCCATCTCTGCCACTCCAGTCTGCAGCGTCAGCTAGCTCATCCTGCTACCGAAAGTGTGTGCTGTCCTGCGGTCTTTCCTAGGACCCCCAAGGGCCCCACTCACATCCTACAGCCATCCAAGGACAGAGTCCCTGAAGAACACAGCCCGTGTTGCAGCGGTCCACGGGCAAGGCCTGACTCTGGTGAAGGGGTCGGGCAGGGAGTGGGGAGTGAGCGGCTGGCCCCCTTCTCCTCACCGTGACCTCCAGGCAGGTGCACCCTCCAAATGACCTGGAGCTTTGGGCCAAGTCATCCAAATTCAAAGGCAGCCTCTGCCATTGGGTGTCCTGCTGTCCCCTGGAGAAGCCAAGAGACTCCCCAAGTGGCAGCTGCTGCAAGGATGGGCCCTGGATTTTGGTAACCCTGAGTGACCTGTGGGTGTTGAGACTGTCAGATCCTCCTTAGGAGTTGGTGGGGGTTGTGTTTGCCCTGGAAGCGAGCACTGCTTTACTTGTGTGTGCGCGTGTGTGTGAGTGTCGGCATTGGTCCTAGGGCTTGAACTCAGGGCCTGGGCACTGTACCTGAGCTGTTTTTCTGCTCAAAGCTAGCCCTCTACTAACTGAGCCACAGCTCTACTTTAGGCTTTTGGGTGGTGGAGATAAAAGTCTCAGGGACTTTCCTGCCTGGGCTGGCTTCGAATCTTGATCTTCAGATCTCAGCCTCCTGAGTAACCAGGATTGCAGGCCTGAGCCACCTGGTGATGCTTTTTAATTCTGCTGGACTAACTTGCAGGTGATTCTACCAGGGGACAAGGGCATGGACCGACTGGTCCAGCCGGACGTTGGCAGCTGGCCCACAGTTGCTGCGTTTCCATTTAGAAATGGGACGTCCACGGAGCTGGCCCCTATAGCAGCAGGACTCTAAACCCAGACACCATATCAGACCATCCCCTCCGGCTGGTGCTTTGCACAACAGGATCTTCGTAAATGTGTTGGGGGCATTTGAAGGGGCCCCGTCTGGCCTCTAAGTGGGAGGGGCCACTGGCATTTCCCCTGGGGCTCTGAGCAGGGTGCGGCTGGTCTTTGTGAGTGCCTCTCCCACATCTCAGCTGGACCCTGCATGACAGGGTGGGGCAGCACCCTCTGTGTCCTTGAGCAACGCCCACCAGCCTCTGCAAGGTCCTGGGCTGCGTTTTGACTTTGTATGTAGATCAATCCACGCTTTGCCAAGGCCTGGAGAGGGCTGCATCTTTCCAGACAGACAGATAGATTTGAGGGTCTGAAGGCCACTGCCCTCTGGTCTCAGCCGGGGTCATAGAGAGAGTAGGGAGTACTCTGAGGAGGGGAGGTGTGGGTCTACAAGTCAGGTGTTGAGACCTACAGGTTCACCTGTTCTTCACAGAGGGGAGCCCACACCCTGACAGGGAACCCAAGAGGGAGCTGTCCCATAGGATGAATTTTGTTGTTGTTGTCAGTCATGGGGCTTGAACTCTGGGCCTCGGTGCTGTCCCTCAGCTCTTCAGCTCAAGATGAGCACTCTACCACTTGAGCCATAGCACCACTTCCGGTTTTCTGGTGGTTCATTGGAGATAAGAGTCTCACAGACTTTCCTGCCTGGGCTGGCTTTGAACCTGGATCCTCAGATCTCAGCCTCCTGAGTAGCTAGGATTACAGGCGTGAGCTACTGGTGCCCTGCTGGGATGTGTGTGTGTGTGTGTGTGTGTGTGTGTGTGTTTACGCATAGTGTGTATGAGATTTCCCAGAGAACAGCATGTTTTTCTTTTCCCTGGGCACCATGGTAGTGTTCCTAAAGATGTAAGTATGTGGGGGTGAGGGTTGGGTGGGTGTGGGTGTCTTGACATAGCACTCTGTGTTGGGGGCCAAGGGGGTAGACAGGAAGGAGAATACAGGAGGAAGGCCCACCACACTGGAGCTCTGCCATCTTGGCCAGGCGCCATCATGGGTGGAGTTGGGTGAGCATGGCGTTTGCCAGCCGCCCTGGGCCATGGCATGAGCTGGTGGCACCCTAGGTTTCCAGCAAGTCCCATCCACTCCCTGTGAGGATGCCTTGGGCCGGCCCAGCCCCCTGCCAGTCCTTGCTGGGCGGTTGTGATGGGAGCGTGGCCACAGCCCATCCCCTCCGCATCACATTCCACAACCTGGACTTTCCACCCGGTCAGCCGTTCTTTTCCATGCGCCTTCTGGCCGGGTGCACTGGGGCTGTTTGTGCAGGCTCCTCGTGAGGGGAAGTGACGCCATGCGCTGTCCTCAGCCCCGGGCTGGGGGAGGGCCCTGCGGTTGCGTGTGCTTTCAATTAAGTTGACGGTTGTGCATTCCAGTAGCCAGTGTATCACCCTTGATCTCAAACCCAGATGTTGTGTTAATAGCAGAAGGGAAAGAAGGAAAAGCAGAATCGGAGCCACTGGGGTGGGGATGGTGTGGGGGCAGGGAACCAGCAGACATTTTTACAAAGCCTTCCTCCCACTCACCTCCAGCTCCTTGGGTGGGACCGAGCAGCCCACTCTGGCCAGGGGGCATGGTTGGTGCTTCGGCCCTGCCCGGCACACAACAGGCATCCCGACCCCGTGTCCCCATGCCTCAGTTTTACTTCTTCCCGAGCCTTAGGGTCTTGTACTTCCCCAGCTCTGGTCTGCAGGTGGCCTGGGACTTGGGGGAGGCCGGCCTTCCTGTGAAGCAGCCTCCTTTCTTCTCTGCCTCCTTCCCTGCCCTCCCCTGTCATGGAAACCGTGCCGCTCCATCTTCCCATCCGTGTGACTGTGTGCTGTCTGGGTTGGAGGTTCCTCCCAGCCCAGGGCTGGTGCCAAAGCCTCTACGGGCACCATCCACCCTGAACCCCTTTTCTAGCTGCTGTTCCTCTGCAGGTGCACAGCCCCCCAGTGCCAGGGCCCCAGTCACTCTCTCCCCACCCCCACCCCCGCCCCAGGAGGCCAGACTTTGGGGAAAGTTTTCAGAGGACCAGTTCTTCGTCTCTCTCAGTCCCCATTTTGCAAAGAAGGGGAGACGGTTCCATCCAGAATTCATAGAAACTCCAAAGAATCTGTGTTCTGGGTCCCCACGGACAGATGGAGGCAGCCCAGCTGGAAGTGAAACTTCTGCCCATCTCTCCCTCCCTCCTCCCATCTCTCCCCCTCCCCCCCTGCTTCCTCTGCTGGCCTCTGTTTCTAGTCTTATTAACCCCACAAGTGTATCCTGGGACTTTGGCTGTGTTTCTTCTTTTCTGACCATTTGAAAAAGGAAACTGTAATCTGTAGCCTCAATACTGAACAAGGGAGCCGCTCCATTCCAGGCCCTGAGAGTCTGTTTGGGTTGCTGGCCAGGGCTGAGACCAGGTCTCTGGGTACCCAAGCAGCTGGACACTGCTTCCAGATCCCTCACCTGCAAGGCTGGGAATGGGGTTTGCTCTCTTCTGCCCACCATGCTGGGCTGTGCCCAGCGCTGCAAGCCCCTCCCCACCTCTCCAAGCCGAGCCTTAGGTGTAGACATGGTTCTTAAGTGAGCAGTCCAGGAAAAGCTGTCTTGAGGTCAGACACCATTCGTGAAACCCCTCTTTCATATACAGACACAGATGGGTGTGGGCCTCGGGGGCTTCTATAAAGCCTCGGCACTCGAACCCCACTGCATGGGAGAGAAGATGGCCGTCTGGCTATTGCAGATCATTTTCTGACCACCAGTGGTGCATCTACTGATCACGTTCATGCCTTAAGCACTGTATAACATAGTAAACCACCAAAAAGCACTTCCCATAGCTGGGTACTGGTGGCTCACACCTGTCATCCTAGCTACTCAGGAGGCTGAGATCTGAGGATCGTGGTTCAAAGTCAGCCTGGGCAAGAAAATTCATGAGCCTCATCTCCAATTAAACCCCCAAAAGCTGAAAGTGGAGTTGTGACTCAAGTGGTAAAGCCTCGAGCAAAAGAGCTAAGGCTTAGGCCCCGAGTTTAAGCTTTAGCACTGGCAACACACACACACACACACACACACACACACACACACACTGGCAACATACACACACACACACACTGGCAACATACACACACACAGTTTCCAAAAGCTCCTACTACTGATGGGCTGGGAAGGTGGCTCAGTGGTAGAGCGTTTGCCTTGCTTGCCTGAGACCCTGGGTTCAATTCCTTAGCACCACATATGCAGGAAAAAAAAGCCGGAAGTGGCACTGTGGCTCAAGTGGTAGAGCGCTAGCCTTGAGGTGAAGAGCTGAGGGACAGCGCCCAGGCCCACGACTGGACCCAAAACAAAAAAACAAAGCAAAAGCTCCCACCGAGTTAGACAGATGCTCCTTCTGTCGTGGCTTCCTGGGACTCCTGCCGGTGTGTCCCCGTGGTGGGGTGGCCTACTGCCACATGAAGAGCAAGCTTAGGACAAAATTAATCTGGCCTGCTCACAATTTGCAGCTTTTTTTCTCTTTTTCGGTAAGGTGTAGAGGTTAAACATGTGATAAGGGAGCATGGAGAAGCCTGGGCCACCAGCCGGAAGCTGCCAGCTTCAACCGGTTCCATCAGGCAGCTTTCATGGAGGGCAGCCACCACCTGTCAGGACCCTTGGGGCCCAAGCAGGCCGGTGCACAGGTGCTTACAGCAGACTCAGTGAGGGCCGCCAGGTGCTGGGGCTTGAAGGGTGGACAGAAGTCTTCCAGGCAGGGAGGGGAAGATGGCATTTTGGACAGAAGAGGCATGGCCCTACTCAGGCATGTTTGTATAAAATGAGGGGACAGCAAGAGCCGGGAGAGGACTTGCTGGCCGACAGCAGCCCGAGCAGCTGGCCAGGTGGCAAAGGGTCTTGGATTTTAGGCGAAGGCCTTTTATAGGAACAAAGGCAGAGCGCTCCGTTCTGGGGTGGGCTGTCCAGTGGCTTTCCCAGCTACAGCTCAGCCTGGGACGCAGGGAGCTGTGGCCTTGGCTGGACTTAGCATAGGAGAAATGCGAATGGGGGTTGGGGCCTGGGTGGGGCCGTGGGCCGTGGTGGGGGGAGCGGGGGTCTGAGGGCTCCAGGCAGATGTGGCTAGCTCCCACGTGCTGCGGTGGGAAAAGACGGCCCGGGCCAGGAGTTTCCAAGAAACTGGAGCTGAACCCTGGGAGGAGACGTTCTCTGAGCGTGACTCCTCCTTTTGTCTCTGTTGAGATGAGTGGCTGGTGGCGGAACACTCACCTCACGTGACCCTGTCCCGCTGCCTTTGGAGGGCAGAGCTGGTTTGTTTGTTTGAAGGAATGGTACAAATTAAAAGAACTTAGGATGTTCTGGTACAACTTATAGAAAAGTAATGATACCCCCAAACGTGCATGCACTGCCCCGGTGACCAGACTTGGGCAGGATGGGGTCCTGAATCCGGCACGGCAGAGTATCTCTTTGACAAACACACTCTGGGAGAAAGTGATGAGAGCTAAGCCTTGGGCGGATCCCCCAAAGCCACACGTGACTTCTGGTCACCGGGGCAGAGCTTTGAACGCCATTGATTGAGACAGAATGTGCCACCAGCTGTTAACCCCCGAAGTGAGGACTACACAAGGGCTCTTCCCGAGTGGCACGAAATCCTGGCCTTCCGTCTTCCTCAGCCTCGGACCCTTATGTCTGTCAGCCACCGTCCCCACACCCAGTGGGCTCCCTGATGATGACATTCACAGCCCACCCCATAGCACCCCTCCTACCATGTTTGTTCCTCCATATAACCTTTTCTGGGGAAGCGCGTGCACGTGCGCGTGTGTATGTGTGTGTGTGTGTGTGTGTTGATCACGGGCCCCCTAGCCTCACACAAGCTGTGTGTGTGTGTGTGTGTGTGTATGTATGTGTATGTGTTCTGATCACAGGCCCCCTAGCCTCACACAAGCTCTGCCCCACTGAGCTGCACGCCCTCATTCAGGAAAACTTTGAGGGCAAAGAGGACGGCAGCTGGATAGACTTGGAGCAGGACTGCAGGGCAGGTCATTTGTATCCCTGCTTCACCGGCCACCAATAAATGTGCATCAGAGCAAATGAGGAAGAGTCCCACTTGTTCAAACAGAAGAGCCTTGCTCAGATCTGTGGTTGTCCCCACAGGGGCGAGGGACTCTGAGCTGCTGCTGGTTGGGGTGCTGGGCAGCAAAGGATTCTCGCTGAGGAATCCCTTTAGCTGGGTGCGGGCAGCTCACACCTGTGATCCTAGCTATTCAGGAGGCTGAGATCTGAGGATCGCTGTTTGAAGCCAGCCCGGGTGGCAAAGTCCATGAGACTCTTATCTCCAATGAACCACCAGAAAGCTGAAAGTGGAGCTGTGGCTCAAGTGGTAGAGTAGTAAATGTGAGCAAAATAGCTCAGGGATAGCACCTAGGCCCCAAGTTCAAGACCCAGGACTGGCACATGTACACACACACACACACACAAAGCATTTGAGGGGTGAGAGGGGGTCTCTTATGCTAGCCTGGGGCCACTGCACATTTGGAGGGGATGGGCCCTCCACATTTTACCTCCCACAGGCCGGGGTGCCTTGCCCACTGGGCAGAGTCTACAAGATGTCTCAGCATCCTGGTACCTCTGTGTTTTGCAGTGATCAGGGCCAAAGCGGTCAGCGAGAAGGAAGTGGACTCCGGGAATGACATCTACGGCAACCCTATCAAGAGGATCCAGTATGAGATCAAGCAGATAAAGGTGACCCATTGCTGCGGGATCCCAGGGGACGGGGAGGGGGGAGGGAAGAGGGATGTCCACAGCGCCATCAAGTAAACTACAGACCCAAAGCAACTATGTCCGGTCTGTCATCCAGAAGAGCCTGTAAAGCTGGGCAGAAATAGAGTTCCTGAGGATTTTCTGTTATTTTAGAAATACGTTCCTTTTGTTCTGATGGGTGACAAATCAGAGGCACAAGCCTCTGCCTCAGTCACCTAGGCCACATCGCGTCCCTGGGGTGTCCTGTGAGCCTCTCCATGGCTTGGCTGTGGTGGGGCTGATGTGAGAGAAGATGCCCAATGTGCCCAGCCACCATGCCCAGCCCTACCTGGCCTGGCGTGCTTTCAACCAAGAGGAGGAGGCATGGGGAGAAGTCTTTGTTGTTGTTGTTGCTTGAGACAGTTCACTGTATCATACTCCTACCTTGGCCTCCCAGATGCGGGACAACAGCTGGCTGGGAGGAGGTGGGACCTGGGTAGGCGTGGTCAGGGACAGCTTCCTTAGGAGATACGCGGGCTGGTGGGCTGTGGTCTGCGGGCTGTGTGTGGGCTGCTTACTGAGAAGGTGCCTTACCCATGAGACATGGCCTGAGTTGGAGCTGCTGCAGGCCCAAGGTTGTGTTACTTTTTCAGAGAATTATTCATGTCCAGGAACATGCAGGGGGGGGGGGGGAATCTATGTCTGAGAGAGAGACAGCAGGTGAGGACAAGACCCAAAGGCATAAGGCCCGACGCTACTTTGATTAGCATTTACTAGGTGTTTTAGAGAGAAGAAAGTTCTAGCTACTGGCAGAGAGATACATTTTTGCAACATGGTAGTGGTTGTAGCCCTCTCTGTTGCATTTTGTTACCCTACTAAAACCCCCAAGTCTCTAGAAAATAAATTCCTGGTATCAGAAGGCCACAGACGGGGCAGACATGATGGCTGGGCTTTAAGGGGGTGTCCTGTGGGGGGTCCTGTCTCCTGGCCTGCGTCTGTTGGACCACAGCTGCTGCTACCCCTGAGGTCTTGCAGTGAGGCATGCTGAGGTTGCAAATTTTCGGGGACTTGCAAATTTGTCCTGGCTCCTTTCTGTTGGATTTGCCTATCAAAACTCTCAAAGAAGCCAGGTGCCGGTGGCTCACGCCTGTCATCCTAGCTACTCAGGAGGCTGAGATCTGAGGATCACGGTTCAAAGCCAGCCTGGGCAGGAAAAGTCCATTAGATTCTTATCTCTGATGAACCACCAGAAAATCGGAAGTGGCGCTGTGGCTCAAGTGGTAGAGCGCTCGTGTTGAGCTGAAGAGCTGAAGGACAGCGCCCCGGCCCAGAGTTCAAGCCCCATGACCGACAAAAAAAAAAAAGGAAAAAACCCCACAACAACAACAACAACAACAAACTCTCAAAGAAAATAGGACACATAGACCCTGCCCCACCCCAGGTGCTGATGGACACCTGTCTTCACCTGCACATGATGCCTTCCTACCTAGCTGCCAATAAACCAGACGATGAAAAAAAAGCCCTCTTGTCCTTGGGCTCTGCCCTCTCTTCCCCTCCCCCTCCGGCCCCATGCCAGGGGTGGAGCTCACATTCCGCACCTTGGGGTTAGATTCCAGTTCTGAGGGAATTCTGAGGATTCCTGCCAAAGCACTGTGCCAGCAGGGTATCTCAGCCCTGCAGAGGCTGAGCTAGAAGGATCGGGAGTTCAAGGCCAACCCAGGCTCATATGATACATGGTTAGAAGAAAAAATCTTGGAAATAGCTGAGGGTGTTGCTTAGGGGCTTACGGCCCTGGGTTCAGTGCCCAGCACACATGCAGGTATGTGTGTGCGTGTCACACACACGTTTCTCTCTCTCTAACATGCAAATGTCATGACCCGCCATGATGAGGACTTACACAAGCCCCTCTGAAATGACCACTTGGACATGGGGGGGGGGCTCGTGTTGTCTGAGAACCTCCCCCTTCCTCCCCACACCAACAGTATTGCCCCTATCTGCTGAGATTTGCCATGCTGCATGGTGAGGGCTCTGCGGAGGAACAGTGGCCGTCTAACCTGCCTGGCTGGCACTTGTGCGTCCCCTGGGAGATCAGCACCAAGATGCCCGGGGGACAGAATCCCATCGCTGCTGACACCCCCCTTTCCTTTACAGATGTTCAAAGGACCCGAGAAAGACATAGAGTTTATCTACACGGCCCCATCCTCAGCCGTGTGCGGGGTCTCGCTGGATGTTGGAGGGAAGAAGGAATATCTCATTGCAGGTGTGTCCCGTGGGGCTTGGGGCTTTGGGTGCCGGAACTCGGTGTCTCTAACAAACCAATTTGCAGCTCTCCACCTCCTCCCTCGTCCCAAAGGATCCAGCTTCTCATGCTGCCCTCTAGAGGCCATTTGTCCAAACTGCAGAGCTGCCCAACCCAAGAAAGCCTCAGTCTAGTGCAGCAGCCTTAGTCTATCTTGTCCAGAGCCTCCTTCCAGACGTACCCTGCTACAAAGGTGCTGTCACGGCTCTCATTTTACAGACAAGAAAAACTGAGGTGGAAAAGTTTGCCCCAGGCTTAGAGGCAAGCACTAGAGACAAGCAGGTCAGGAGAGACAGCACTGGTTCAGAGGGAAGCCCAGGGTGCCCTGGGTCATTGCTCCTGTTTCCTTTACTTGGGGTGCTCCGTGTTATATCAATAGCTGTGTGGGCATCACCGTATCTCTCTTATGGGACCTCCACCCTCCACTTTCACAGCCAGAGGTTTCCTGGGTGTCCTGTGCTGTCCCCACCCCCGGGCCCATTAACTCCTCTCAGCCTCAGTGAGAAGACAGTTCACCAAGCAGCACCGCCTGTATCTTCCAGGCATGCAGTGGTAAAGCCGCGTCCATGAGCTAACGCGCCCCGATGGGTAGCGGGCTGCAGTGTGCAGGGGTGTCCTTGGGCGAGCTTTGGCACCAGTAGAAGGGCCGCCAAGGACAGAGGCCCTTCCATGGGTAGAAATAACTGCTTTGGTAGTGTTCTCCATTGCTCGAGGTTCTCTCTCCTGGAGAACCATTCTTGGGGATAACCCGCCTGCCTGGTGGGCCAGCCGCTCTGCCAATGAGCGCGCATTGTCTCATGGCTGGGGGTGGGAGCAGGGGTGAGGCCAGTGAGAGGACGCATTGTCTCATTCTGGGGGAGCAGGGGTGAGGTCAATGAGGGTGCATTGTCTCATGTGAGGGTGAGGGCAGGGGTGAGGTCAATGAGAGGGTGCATTGTCTCATCCTGGGGGGGCAGGCAGGGGTGAGGTCAATGAGGGCATTGTTTCATCATGAGGGATGGGGAGCAGGGGTGAGGCTCTCCTGGGAACCAGGACCCATCATCACTTGGTTGGACTTTCCTGGCAGGTTTCCTGAATCAGGCCTGGACCTATTGCGGTTCTTTGGAGTCAGGAGGGGCCTTCTAGCCTGGGTTAGTGAGACATCACGGGGCCGGCAAACTGCTCAGCCAGCTCTGGCCGCAGCCCCACGAGTGACCGCGCGGCCCGAGGTAGACCACATCCTCTTAGGCCAGTGGCTCAGCTTCGTATATCCAGTGGGGCAGCAGAGGATCCCACTGAAGGCTCACAGATTTGGCCCTGTAATTTCCTTCTGTCATCTTCCTCTCTGAAAGGAAGAGTAAACATGCTACCCTTAGTTACACATTTTAATTAATTCCTGTTTTCCTGTATCCAAGACTCTTGTGCTTTGCTTCATTTCCTTTTTCTTTTGAGACCGACATCAGTAGACTGTTGGGACAGATGGGCATGTCATGTGATGCGCCCAAGTCTTAAGTGTACTACAGGGGGTCCTCCTGCAGCACGCTTGTGCCACACATGCTTGTGCCACACACAACATCCGGGAGCCAGGGCCATGGAAAAGTTTCCATCTGCCTTCCATCCCCACGGGTTGCCTTTGCCAGCTTTCTGGGGAAGCTTAACTTGGTGGCAAAGACCCAAAGGGGAGCTGCAGAAAGAGGAAGAATAGGAAGAAAATTGTTAGAGCAAGCACACTTGTCACTGGTTAGCTTTTATTGAGTAATTATTATGTGCAAGGTGCTATATATATAAACATGTTATAACAGAGCCCTTGCTCTTTATATGTAAGGTCTGGTTAAGGAGCCAAGGTACAAGAATGGCAAAGACAGCACAAAGTGGGTTACGAATGCTAGTTAAGTGGTGTGAGTAGAAGTCACCGGCGCCAGACTGACAGTGGTCATGGGGACCAGCAGGCTGGGCAGGAAATAGGCTGCAGTCTATGTGAACAGGTAGGAAGTTCCAGAAGACACGGGCATACTGAAAAGAATCACTACCTTTCTGTTTTGTATCTTTCTTCTCTACTCTGATCCCACCAAAAATGTCCAGAGAATAAAAGGCTAAGTATCGACTGGGCGCTGGTGGTTCACACCTGTGATCCTAGCTACTTAGGAGGTGGAGGACTGAGTACTACAGTTCAAAGCCAGCCCAGGCAGACAAATGTGAGACTCTCATCTCCAATTAACAAGCAGAAAACCAGAAGTAGAGGCGTGGCTCAAATGGTAGAGTGCTACCTTTGAGCCAAATAGCTAAAGGACAGTGCTTGGTCCTGAGTTCAAGTCCTAGTATCAGTGTACACACACACACACACACACACACACACACGTGTGCACGAATGCACGCATGTGTGTGCCAAACATTTATTTTCCAAGTGTTGAAGGTCACCCAAATACAATTTGTCTAATTCAGAATAAGTGCCACAGTAATAGCACTTCTTGATTCTCTCCTCACCTGCAATGTCTTACAAATCTAACTGATCCAAGGATGAATTGAGGAGAATATGAAGCCACAGCGTTTGCACGGGGACAGTGCACCCAGCAGCGTGTGTGTCATAGTGCCCACTCCAAACCCATCCACACTTCCCCCATGGGACCCCTGTGGGTCCAAGTGTCTTTTACTCATGATGGAGGAGCAGTTGCTTCACTGAGGTACAGTTCTGTTAGTGGATTCTGTGCAGCCTGTGCTGCGCCTGGTGTAAGGTTGATGTGCTGACATTAGTTAAGCTGAGGGGCACACGCCAGGCTGGGGCTGGTGGATGGGACTCACCCATACGTCTCTGAGGTCTCTGACAGCGGGGGGAACGAGCTTTTAAATCACCCGGCAGCCGCCATTCACCGGAATGTGCGCTTCCTTTTCTTTCCTCCTGCTCGGTGTGAATATGACATCAGCAGAGGGAGCAGAGTTGGGAGCTTGAGCCACAGATAGGGACAGCAGCGCCCAGCGCCCAGCGCCCTGTGAGGGGCATGGAGGGCAGGTCCTTAATGGTTCAGAGTTCCAAGTACTTGCTTTATTCAAAGAGAAAAATGCACGTTCACCCTCCAGTGGGGAATGGTGCCCACTGGAATAAATACTCAGTGTAAAAGAAAGCAGGAAACAAGCCAGGTGCCAGTGGCTCACATGTGTAATCTTAGCCTCTCAGGAGGCTGAGACCTGAGGATTGCAGTTCAAGCCAGCCCAGAGAGAAAAGTTCCTCTTATTTCCAACTAGCCAGCAAAAGGCTAGACTGGAGGTATGGCTCAAGTGATAGAGCAGCAGCCATGAGCAAGCAAGCCAAGCAAGAGTGCAGAAACCCTGAGTTCAAGCCCGGGTACTGGTTCACACACAGAAAAACAACTCAGGAAATGACACGATCTATATGCCACATGGTTTTCTTTTGTTGTTTTTACAACAAACATGATATATATATACACATATACATATATGCATACATAAATCTATCTTGTATGTACCATATGCACATGTGCATGTGTGTATAGATACATGCATATCTATACACACACGTATTCGTGGGTTGAGACAGGTCTCCCTGTGTAGCCCAGGTGCCTGGCCTTAGACTTGCGATACGTTCTTCAGTCACCAGACAGCTAGGATTACAGACATGTGCCCCCACTCCCAGCAAATATGCATTATTTTAAGACTCAGAACAAACAGTCACAGGTAATATTGGAATCCATCTCAGTAGCCCTTAGTTGTGCCCAAAGGTGGAGGAGGGTGTGAGGAAAACTCAACCTGACCCCGAGCTAAGAGATTCCCCTCTCTCCCCAGGAAAGGCTGAGGGGGATGGCAAGATGCACATCACCCTGTGTGACTTCATCGTGCCCTGGGACACCCTGAGTACTACCCAGAAGAAGAGCCTGAACCACAGGTACCAGATGGGCTGCGAGTGCAAGGTGAGCACCCGGGTTCATCAGGACTTGGGCGGACAGCTGGGCTGTGGGACCGTTGGCTTCCAAAGCCCCTCCGTTCACTAGAGTGTGATTTAGGCCTCCACTCTGGGAAGGTGTGGCTTCCCCGGGACCTCCTCTAGCTCCCCAGCTACAAACTTGAGAGCTTCAAGTGGCATCTGTGACCAGGGACATTTGGAAGGTGTCACACAACTAGGAAGAAAAGCCTTTCTGGGAAAAGAAAGTTTGAAGGACGCACATGGGCCCCCTTAGTTGTTTTTTCCCCCCTACAAATGCACAAGTGAAAACATTTGTGTGCCTTGTGAGAGGGCACCCTAGGCATTATACTACCAACATTCCAGACATTTCCACACCTGAGCCCTGTGTGTTGGGAACAGCGGATGTGCCTGCCTCCCTTCCTGCAGTCTGCCCGGTGACTGAGCAGAGCAGAGCTGGGGTGGTTCAGGCACTCAGTGTGGCCAGGGAGGGTGAGATCCCCTCCAGGGCACTGCCCTACCCCACCCATCCACAAGGGAGGAAGCACCGCTGGGTGCCTGGTAACACACATGTCACCAGGAGTGAGTGTGGGACCCGGGGTTACCAGCAGGAGCTGTCCTGCATGACGGGAAGCTATTTGGGAAGTCTCCTTCCCTTTTGCCCAGCATCTGCCCATCTCTTAGCTCCTGGGAGGCGTGAATTCCAAGGCCTGGCTGTGTATCACGCCTGCCTTAGCTGTGCTTCGCCATTAAAGCGGATGCTTTGCTCATTACCTTAGAGCTCACGCTTGAAAGCGGAATCCTGGCAGTTCACTCAGCTCACCTCTGTCTCAAGGAAATGCAAGGGGAGCTGCTGTCATGCCTTCTTAACTCTTAGAGCAGGTAGACCAGATGTCCGAAAGCAGAGAGACCCAGCCAGGTAGATACCCACCACCACCAGTTCCTTGAGCAGACTGCCTGCTACCATATAGAGCCAGCAAGGCCAAAAGCCCTGGGCTGGCCCAGCTGGGTTCTGGAGATGCCCCCAGAGTAGCCTTGGCCCTTGCCTGTTCCTTGGTCCTCAACTAAATCCACCTGTATGTCCCCTCCCCAGATCACACGCTGTCCCATGATCCCCTGCTACATCTCCTCTCCGGATGAGTGCCTCTGGATGGACTGGGTCACAGAGAAGAACATCAATGGGCTTCAGGCCAAGTTCTTCGCCTGCATCAAGAGAAGCGATGGGTCGTGCGCGTGGTACCGCGGGGCGGCGCCTCCCAAGCAGGAGTTTCTCGACATTGAGGACCCATAATTGGGCCAACAGCACCCCCCCTTCCCCCTGTGGCCGATTGAAAAGCCTCCAAGGGTTTCGACTGGTCCAGCTCTGACATCCCGTCCTGCAATCAGCATGAGTAAAAAAATCATCTTCCGAGTAGGTCCCACACAAGTGGGGTTCTGCCCATTCCCTCCTTTCCTCTAAACATGGCTGTGGGTCTGGGGGGCGGGGGGGACAGGTCCCTCCTACACCGCCTCCATCTGCCAACCTGGGCACCCATGTGTCTCAGCCTTCTGTCCTTGGGTTCAGCCCTCCCAGATGCCAAGCAGGCAGCACTTGGGGGTCCCCCAAGCCCAGTTAGGGCAGAGCCTGGAAATGTGCATTTTTGCAGAAACGTTTGAGGGTCGTTGCAAGACTGTGTAGCAGGCCTACCAGGTCCTGCTCCTCCCGAGAGGGGCGTGGCCCTTGCTTTCTGCGGCCGCGGCCAACCCTCTGGCCTAGGGTGACAGTCCCAGGCCCTTGTAAGTGCATTCCATCTCCTTCGTGCCCGTCACAGGCTCCCAGCATCCGTGACCCCCTCAAGCCGGGAGTGACCCTGGAAGCACCCCCCACCCCCCGAAACCGCCGAGACCTGTGCATCTGCAGGGCTCCGGTGGAGCCTCCCTCAGGCCTGGTGGAGACTAGAGGCTTCGAGAACCAGGTTTTCTCTTCAGCCAAGTCATTTTCGACCCATTCCTCCCATGAGTCACAGCTCCTAGAGGGGAACTCCACGCTGAGGGCTGCACTGGGGCGGGCGAGGGGCTGGCTGTCCTTGTAGCTCATGCCTAAGCAGCTCAAGTCACTCACACCCCACTTCCAGCTGGCGTCAAGTGGCTGGATTGAGCCACGTGGCTCTGCTATCCCCTGGTGGTGTGCAGCCATCCCCTCTTCCCCTCCCCCCCCATGTGTGTGGACACTGCCCCCAGAGGCTTAGTGACATCTCCCTCTAAGCCTTATGGTCACTATTCTGTGAGTGGCTTTCTGCCAGTGTCTTAGTGGAGTGTAGTAAGGCCTGCCCAGGCAGGATGGGGAGGCCTCCCTGTCGGCCCTGGGCCTTCTCTCTGAGCCCCCAGAATTCTGTGGCCTGTTTCAAAAGACATCTCATGTTTCTAAGGGTGAATTTTCCTATGGCGTAGGGATCTGAGTTGCAGGTTAGAACAGGCTATGTCCATTTCCTATCGCCACAGTGATGACCCACTTTTTTTTTTAAAGACACCTTCCGGGTAACAGGGGACCCACAGCTCCCCTAAAGATGGTCTTTTGATGCCAATACCATGAGAGGTTGCTCAATTACAATTCCGATCATCTCTTTTTACCTCTGACTGGGGTTGAAAAGACAAACTGTTTCAAGGACCCCCACGCGCATGGCGCTGACGTCCAGGTGCCGCGGCAGTGATGAGGACAGGCTTGGAGTGGTCCTTCTGCAGAATCCTTGCAACGACCCCCATCTCCAGATCACCCCCCACCCTGCCCCAAGCAACTCACCATAAGACTCCTGACTCCCCCCGGGCGGTGCACAGCCCCCGCACCACGGGACCTGGTCAGCATAGAAACTGATGACTTCCCCTCATAGGAGACTGGGAGAAAATCCAGGAATCAGCCCCTAACCCTGCCCACCCCCACCCCCAGGGAGTTTTCATGCTGTACAGAGACCTAGAGTTGGTAAGATGTCATAATGGATCAGTCCATGTGATTTCAGTATATAGACCACACCGACCCTCTGGTCCATAGAACACCCCACCCTGTTTGCTTCCCATATGGTGATCACATGTAACAATTGCTCCTATTTCTGCTGACTTCCTCGATGTTTCGTTGTTTTTGTTTTTTGTTTTTGACATCGCTGTAATCATTCCTGTGCTGTTTTATTTTTGAATTACCTTTGGTAGGTGTTAGACTTGCACTTTTTAAACAGGGTCTCTGCATCGTGGAAGCATTTGACCCACAGTGGAAGGCGTGGTGTGGTCCCCGGCCTGTGACAGTGGACCCCTTCCCATCTTTTCCTTTACTTCTTTGAGCATTTGCTCGTATCTTCCCATCTTTTGTCCTCTGGTTCACAGTATTACAAAGTCAGCTGGTTCATAAACATGGCCTTTCTATTTGATCCATGCACCTTGATTTTCGAACCATGCTGAGCGGAAAGCAAACAGGCAACCACAGATCAGGACACCACGCCTGCAGCAGCCCAGGCCGGCCACGCCATACCTTCACAGCCAACAATTGTAATATATAGTCTAAGAAGCAGTCTCCATTTGGCATTGTTTAATTTATACGTTCTGAGCACTCCTCCTCCTCTATTTTTATCATGCAAGCAACTCAAAATATTTAAAATGAAGTTTACATTGTAGTTGTTTCCAAATCTTTGCTTGATAAGTATTAAGAAATATCTGTGAGCTTACTGCTATAATTTAAAGCTTTGTTGATTTTGTTTTTTGTTTGGATTTTTTCTGTTGTTGGTGGATGGGGGGAGAACAATGTATTCATGCTGGAATATGAAGTCTGAGACCCCCCCTACCCCACCCCGTGCTGGGAACACGTGAGAGTCGTTTAGAGTCAACAAGCACACTGCGCTTGTCTCTCATGCTTTGTATCATTTTTGAGTGATCGCTCTGTCAATCGACAATAAACAATATTATCAATGAGAAGCCGGGCTCTTGTGTGACTGCTTGCCTTCTAGCTGAGGAATGAAAGGCTGGTGCCAGGCCCGGCCCAACCACCAGCACCTCCAGTGAGCCTCCCTGCAGAAGGATCGCATCTGTAAATGCGCATCTGAAGAACAAGAATTAGAAGCTCCCCTCAGCACCGTCCCTAATGGAGATGGTGTCTCTAGTTCTAAAACTGCCTTGCTAGCCACCCCCTGACAGTTTAGGGTTCGTAGAAAGAAACTTCATAGGGTGTAAACCCACAGCTGCATGGCCAAGGTGCCTGAAGAAGATTTAGAAAAGTAACCCAACTTGGGCTATTGGGGAAACCCTGGCGAGTTAAGGTCTTTGTGGGGAAGGGGTCCCAGCCCAGTGAATTCTGGGGAAAGACCCAAGTGGCCTTGGGCTGAAGGTGGTCCCACAGGACCTAGGCAGGGACCCTCAGCCTAGGAGTCCAACCCAACAGCTGGCACCTTGGGGTGGTTCTTCAGAGCCTGGACACGCCCTAGCTGGTCATGATGGGTCTCAGAAAGGGGAGGGAAACCCACATGACTGACTACTGTTTGTATTTCCAGTTAGTGGTGCAAGAGGGATATTAAACAAATACAGTGCTGGGAGTGGCTCAGTGGTAGAGCGCCGGCCTTGCATGCATGAAGCCCTGGGTTGGATTCCTCAGCACTACATAAACAGAAAAAGCCGGAAGTGGTGCTGTGCCTCAAGTGGTAGCGTGCTAGCCTTGAGCAAAAGAAGCTCAGGGACAGCGCCCAGGCACTGAGTTCAAGCTCCAGGACCAGCAAAAAGAAAAAAAGTACAAATTATTACAGCAAATTATAAACCAGCAAACTACTTCCTGTTTGAGTCTTGCGGAAGCAGGTCACAGCAGCTCCTGGGCTTGCCTGGGGGTGAGCCTGGCATGTGGCGCCCCCTCCTGGCCTCCACCAGCCCTGCAGAACTCCTCCTGGTACAGGCAAATGAGAACCATCACCAATGAGATTCCTTTTGAGACTAAACAAAATCAAACGTGAGAAAACTGCTGGGCCATTGAGAGGGAGGTCTTTATTTTGGTACCAGTGCTGTGAGGGCCTTGATCATGCCAGGCCCTTCTGCCTTCGCCAGGCTTCTGGAACAATGCTAACAGATCTGTGGACATGGATTGGGAAGATGACACAGGTATGTACCTCTGATGAGGGTTTCTCTCTGGAATCTGGCAACCTAGAACCACAGAGATGCCCATCACAGGGCTGTTATGCACTAGCTGTGGCAAGACTAGGGGTTAGATCTTGGTTTCTAGAAACTGTAAACTATCAGGGCTGGGGAGGCTTAGCATGAACAAACTCATAGGGACCAAGGGCCACAACTGATGTAGAAGTCCAAAAAGGGAGTAATCTACAATTAGAACTGCAATAAAAGATCTTCCCAGGGATTACCACACATCTTCTGCCATTCCTGCAGGCAATGAAATTGGAGGAAGGGCTGAGTCCATTTTACCTGAATCTTCCAGGCTTAGCAGCCAACCAAGCAACTTCTGGGTGACAGTATTACTGTTAACATACCTTTTTCTCAAGGTATGTTCAAATATAGTTAATTTTGGTTAGAGTGTTTTGAAATGAGGTCTAGCCATGTAGCCCAGGCTGGCTTTGAACTTGAGGTTTTCCTTCCTCAGATTCTGGAGTGAAGGGACCACAGTAGTGCACTGCCATGTCAGGCCTCAATGTGGCTTTCATTTGCAATTCTCAGGTGCCCTTTGGAGTTGAGCACATGAAAAGATGTTCAACTTGGCCCTGTGAACATGTGGGGGACTTTCTCTGTGAGGGAATTGGGCAGCGGAGATGGGGGCGTCAAAGCCCCTCCCACCGTAATTCTAGATTTCAGGTGTTACTCGCAAACTTGAGGGCTTCCAACAATTCCTGTCTTTTCCCCCCAAAATAAGTAACTGACTATCTCAGTTCAGTGTGAACTTGGAACCTGGCAGACCTGGTTGCACACTCAGGTTTTGTTTGTTGTTGTTTTTAATCTGTAAAATAACACCCTCTGTAAAATGAACCCTTTGGTGGGATGGCCATGAAGATGAAATCTCACTGTATTGGTAAGAGTGGCCACCTTGGTTTCTGATATCCATGGTAGTAAGTGTCGGTTGGTTTTGTTCTCTGAAGAAGAGAGATGCAGATCTTTTTTCTCAGATGAGGAAACCAAGGCTTGGTTAAATTAAGGGAAATCGCCAAAGCGACAGACTCATTAGGGCAGAGCTGGGATTCAAACGGAAACAAAGCAGCCAAGGTTTTATTCTCCTGCCTGCGCGCCCCTTTCAGCCAGAAACACAGTGAGTGACCAGTGATACCTTGTGTCAGGCGCGCACCCTTTGAGACACCCTCTGATACGGTGGGCAGTCGGTCCGGCGCCGGTGGCTCTGACCTGCAACCCTGGATCACAAGGCCGAGACCAGAGGACTGGGGTTTGAGGCCGGCCTGTGAGATTCTTATCTCCCCACCAAAAACAAAGCCAGAAACGGAGCTTGGCTCAAGCGGCCGAGGGCTGGCGGTGACCCGAGCCCGCAGCGCCGGGAGCAGCAGCGTCCAGACGGAAAGCAAAGGCTGGCTGGAGGCCGTGGCCCCCGTGGCGGGCTGGCCGGGGTCCGGCACCTGCAGGCCGGGCGGGGAGGGGGGGCCGCGCCTGTAATCCAGGCAGAGGGCGCCGGTCAACCGGGGCGGCGCGGCCTCAGCGCAAGAACGGAGGGGCTGCGGGCGCGGCGCAGCACCGGCTGAACACGCACCGGGTCCTGGGTTCGGCCCCCAGCACCGCACTAAACACAGAGCCCCA